AGTAAAAGTGGACTCGTGAGAGTCGGATGTCGATCCCACAGGGAATACTCAAATTATCTAATCCTAAGTACCAAATTCTAACAATTATGATTTTTATCCAGCCTACGCAAAGTTGTCAAATTAAATCAACTAAACAATTAAACTAATTAAGAAAGCAAATAAACACGAGAAGATATCAATAAAAACGGACATAGGATTTTATCTTCCCCCTATGCAAGAATTGCTCACCCAAAACCCCTCAATTATGAAATATATGATTCATGATTATTAACCCGAGACACTAATTTACTCATAACCCGCTGTCGCGTGTATTATGAGTCTATTATTCATAAACGATTCACTATATGTCTATGCAAACCAATTATAAATAAAGCATTAACTAACAAGTCTCATAAATGGCTACCTAAGGTGATATCTGTATGTCTACGACACCACATGCAATTGACACACTCATCCGGTGAAAACTACTCGAAGGCTCTTCTACTTACCGTCTAATTATCAAAATAGCTCTGTCGAGTCAATCCCAATAATCACAGATAAAGCACATAAATTGATCAAGTTCATGCACTAACAATCATAACAAGTAGAAGAAATAATCATAAAATCATAATTGCATAATCTCAAGAAAAAGGGTTCGCAATCCCTACATAGGGTTCCAACAAAATCCTAGATTAAAAACTTAGCTACGCATGTTCTCTACGAAAAACATAATAAAAACATAAAAAGAATAGATTAAGAAAAGATAGATAAAAGAAGAATTGTGATGAAGAGTTGTCAATTCTCCGTCTTCGATTCTTCGTTCTCTCGCTCCTCTCGCTCCAAGGTTGTGTCAAAAGTTCCCTTTGATTCGTGCTTGGTTTGGGCTTAAATAGATGTCCCAACTTGGTAGATGATTCTAGGTTTCCTTGTGTGTTTAAAAGTCCAAAATTGCCTCCAACGTGATTTGGCACGGCCGCGCGAAAATCAGTGCAATTCTCGCACGGCCGCGCGAGAATCGCCGAACCTTCTGCCCAAATTCAGCATTTGGCACGGCCGTGCCAAAAATAGGCTAATTTTGGCACGGCCGTGCGGGCCTGTTTTCAGCCAATTTCAGCATATTTTTGATTATTTCACTTTTGGCCCATATTTTCTCCAAATTTGCAGTTTTGACCTCAAACTTTTCCAATTCTTCAATTTATACCTAAAATACAATAAATCAACTTTTTAACCACCAATTATCGTTAAATCACACCAAAAGCTCAAATAAAAAGGTACGATAAAGTATAAAAATATATACTTAACAGTCCCTTTATGATCATATTCATTGTTGTCGACAATAGCTTTGTTTCACAACTCAAAGATGGTTTGTCAGAATTGTGCTAGAGAGAGAGAGAAAGAGAGAGTTGGTCTCCCGTCTTCAGCCTCTCGTCGTCTTTAGTCCCCAATCGCGAAAAAAGAAATGTTTTGAGAAAGCTATTTTATTTATAATTTCAGGGCAAGAGTGTTAGTTATCTTCAATTCTCTTTAGGTGATGCATGCTCTCAATCTCATATATATACAAACATTACTATTCTAGTACTACTGGAGTTTTGATGTCTACGCGCGCTATAACATGTTTCAATCGTGTAAAGCTATGTCCTGGAATCTTCTCTCTAAAATATTTAGGTTTTGTAAACGTACGAAAGTGAAGCTATATCAAAAGGAAGAATATTCTAGTTTGAAGGATGGCTGTGCCGTGAAAATACGTTTGGTATGTGTTAGTGTTGATACCTTCGCTACTCATCAAAAAGTTAAGGCGGCATTTACTACTTGCCCAGTTAGGCAAGTCCATGTGCACTACAGTAGTAATCGTCTCTTAAAATGTAAGTTGTACGTTCAACTATTTATAAACTTTGCGTCTTAATTTTTTTTCGTATTTGTAGTTTCTTATTGGTTCTGGATTCATCTTTTATTAAATCAGACAATAATATTGACTCTAGTCTAACTACACATGCAGTTGAGTTATTACTCTTTTGCACAGTTTCCTTAGTCATTGATTCCTGCTGCATGAACTTAGCTATTTCGGTCTCCATTCAAAGTTTCAAACCACACAAGAATCAAAATGTTCACTATATATTACAATTTTGTCAACAGCTCTTTTAATAAATTAATTCTTTACATCAAGTGACACCTCCCACAGTTTCCTACTTTATCTAACTAGATTCTGATATCTTAGCTAGGCAAAGGCGTTCGTGAAGGAGCACGTTTCTTTATAATATATTTTTGGAAAGGTTATCTCTAGAACAATGTGAACTTGAATTACAGTTAGTACAAATCAAGAAGCATTAGCACATGCAGATCTTGACAGCATCTAATTCTCACCTTTACTTCAATTATGCATTAAACAATGCATGCATACAGATATTCTTATATATCCTCATATTTCCTTTTTCCCACTATATATATATATATATATATATATATAGCTTATCACAAGAAGAAATCAAAACACCCTCACAAATTCGACTATATTTTTCGCTTTCTCTCTCTACTTTGAATTATTTGCAAAAAAGAAGAAAAAAAAGAGAGAGAAGATGGATTGTGTATTGAAACTGGCTTCACAAAACGCAGTAGTGATATTCAGTAAGAGCACGTGCTGCATGTGCCATGCAATAAAGAGGCTGTTTTACGAGCAAGGTGTTAGCCCTATGGTGTATGAGCTGGATGAGCTTTTAAATGGGAGGGAAATCGAGCGAGCCCTTGTCAGGCTCGGGTGCAGTGGGCCCACCCTGCCAGCTGTCTTCATCGGAGGAAAATTAGTGGGGTCCACAAAAAACTTACTGACTCTCCACATTAATGGTTCACTTGAGAAAATGCTCAAAGATGCTGGAGCTCTTTGGCTTTGATCATATAGGCTATATATTAATTACCATAAGTTCAAAATTAAGGCAAATTATATATATATATATATATATATATATATATATATATATATATGATCAGCTTGTATCATGCAAGAATTTCTGTTTTTTCATGTTAATTTTGTATGTATGTATAGAAGTTTACTGGCTTTGATGAGTTATATATATACAAGATGGTTTCTTACAGATTATGTTGCTTATTGAATGATTAACATTAATTAGTCATTGGTTTATAACCAGCAATTCAAATGGTTCATCTCCAAATGAAACATTTGAATTGATCCTTTTAGAAATGGACCAATTAAATTGTGATTGGCTCTTATATATTCTTGATAGAAATAACTCATTCCTCCCATCCCAAGACTGATCAAGGGATGAATTCATTATCTTTTCAGCTGTTTTTTTTATGCTATTTAATTAGATGAATAGAAACAAAGTCTCATATGGTGTGGTGTCACTTCTCTCTCATTACGTTTTAAACAAGGTTACCAGCACCTCTGAGACCCATTGGAAACTCAACAGAGGGTTCATCTCAAAGCACTACCAAATTTGGATCCCCCCTAAGAAAGAATGGATTAGGCTAACTCCGATGACTCGATCTTTTGATGAGGGCCTTGCTTTCTCCAGCTAATGCCTCAGTCATTGCTGCCAAATCCAAACAACACAGTTGCAATTTTGGAAGCTTGCAAATTGCTGGATTCTGCAGGTGCCCCCTTTAATTTGCAGCAATTGAACCAAATGGCTAGGGTCTATGGCCAAAATGCCGTTTCGAATACATCTCTCGGAATGCAAATTTTGTGGTCCACAATCTTGTTAAATGGGCTTGTAATGTGAAATGGGAGGGGCATGTCCATTCTAATCGTATTCCTTTATCTTGTTTTTGCGATGGTGGTTACCCCATCGTAGACTCTTCCCCATTTTAATTTATTTCATTTAAATATATGGTTCTTGTTTCTTATCAAAAAAAAAAAACAAAAAAAAGAGAGAGAGAGCCCCATAAATAGTGACTGGAATAAAACATCAAGTACATTAAGAAGAAAACAATTATTTTCCATAGAAGAATTATAGTCTTACAAGCAGGAAAATCATAGTTCATGTGTAAACCAATCTAGTACTGGACAAACTGAAGACATTCTCGTTTTTACTGCTAACTTTGTTAATTAGCTCGGTATACGGTAGGACAAAATATATATGACAAGGCAAAGCCAAAATAGGTTGCAAAATGCTTTGTTCAAGTACAAAATGTCGAATTACTTGATCATATTTCAGTTCCGAATCTTTTTTAACAGTTCCAAATCATTACATATCAATGGATAACCAGCTTCAAAGGATGAGCTTTCAGTTTTGATAAGTCCAAACTTGCATCTAGCTCTTCATCTAATTCTCCAATGATGCCTCTACGCATGTATAACAAGACCAATCAGATTATGGAATGCAGAACAAATCGATTGTAAAAGAGGAACACTTACATTGCTAACTATTTTAAAATAAAATTAAAAGAGAAGAATTTGGAGGAATATCATACATATTATCGCCTCGTAATATATAGAGTCCGAACACAATTAGCTCTACGCCTTCGTGCAAAACAAGAAGAAACATTGAAATTTTTTTTGCCACGATATTATGCTTAACAAAATAAAGAAAATATTGAGTAGAGTTATAATCTACATGCAACATCAATATCATATGATGATGCAAAAACCAACAGAAAACGAGCATTACACGATTACCCACTTCCGTTAATGATGTAGAATTCATCTCTTACATTGGTCTATTTAAGCATAACACAATACAAATTCAAGCCGATTCCCACGTAACTTTTTCCTTTTTCCTTTTCTTTTTTCTTTTTCTATTTTTTCCTATTTCCTTTCTGTCTCTCAGGATCCAGAATCCAGAATCCAATGGTATAGGAGGCATGCAGGTAGAAAAGATGACAAAGTCAGTAAAATAACAATGACAAGTACTTGTACCACCACCCTTTTGTCTTTGATACTATTAACTTACTTTTATGATCCATGTGCAAGAGCATAATTTAATTGAAGAACGAAGCTCAATAAACACACACACACACACAGACACACAAAATTAGATAAATATTGTTCAAATGGATGCATGGGGAAAAGTTATATCATTAAGGCAGACAATTGGTTAAGGGCAATTTTTACAAGTTCGATACTTGTACGAAATCAGACCTTGGTGGAATACACCCGCTCATGAGACTCATCAAGGATTATGTTGGTAGCCTGGTCGAAACCTTTCAGAATTCCCTGCATTTTTTTTTTTAACAAAATGTACATGATAATTTTTTTGCATGAAACTCACCACAATATTCCGTCCATCATTTGTGATAACTGAAATTGCTTCTGGCAAAAACAAAAACAACGAGGAAACATCATTAACTCTTATTCATATTTGGGGGAAGTCTTAACATGCTTCTATCATGCTCTCCTACAATCGAGGAACACATCTCAGAATATACTTTGCTACCCAGAACCAAAATACAGTAAAAAGTAAGGAAAGAGTCCGTTAGTTTATACCACCTATGATTCAACAGGTAACAGATGAGATTTGGATGTTCTAGAAACTTACATACATATTATTGCTATCAATATTTTTCTCAATTAAAGTATTTACTAACTAAATGAAGCGATAATTAATTATATAAACTGTTACTTGGGTTAAGAACCAAATTTCTTGAATCTTTAGGGGTTAGTGATTTTTTGACACATATATATGTAAAGGAACTACCTGCAATTAGTGGTTTAACAATCTCATATTATTTATATGTGGAAAAAAAAATGACATAGCAACGACTAACGATATTACGACATTTCTTATTTATCTAATAACAGATTTTAAACGACATAACTTAATGGCACTTAAAAATGATTCAAAATAATAGGATAATTTAATCAAGAAGGAGAAGAGATTGCATACGATCAACAAGAGACTCCAGTCCAGTCTCAGTAGTTGCCATTTTTGTATTGTCAATATAAACACGCCACGAGCAACCTAATCAAATTATCTCTGCAATCAGTTAATGTACATAATTATTCCCAATACATAAACAAATTTAATTGAAAAATAAGTGAAATGTCGAAAACTAAAGCATATATGATCTTCGATAAAACGACATAAATACAGAGTTTGGCCACTCCAACTCCAAATGATACTCATCAAGTCGACTAGTCGAACAATCTTTGAACTGACCCACGAAATCACTTTCCAGTAGATCAAAATAATTACAATACCATTTGAAACCTTAAGTCAATAATAATTTGTCGTCTAATTACACAATTATCCCACTTGTCATGAACAATATGGATATTTCTTCTCCAAATTATCATATTTCTCGGTATATTATTTCACAGCAAAAGAAAACTATATATCCAACAAAACATAAATCCACCAATAAAGAAATCATTCGCAGTCATACAATTATTGGGAAAGAAGAAGCGTATATATAATACGAGTTACCAATTCGAATTTTAGTAAGCACAGCTACACTTGCGAGAGAGAACAAGATATAGTCGGGGTTAGGGCACATACGTGCTTCACCTATCTCATTCCAGTAAATGAATTTCAATTATGAGAGCTCTGAATTAATATTTGAAATCGGAATAGCAGTTTAATGCTCAACCGCTATTTGTTTAATAATTGAAAATGCATCAGAATTTCTGAATAATGTTTTTTTTTAAGGAAAAATTAGCAAGAACCCGCTCATCTCGTGCAAAAAAATAATTAGAGAAAACTCCCTTAAATAGATAATATTCTAATGCTAGTTTCATAATTACAAAATTACCCTTTGTAATATTAAAGCCCATTTCACGTTGCTCATATAAAATCCCTTATTTCACGTAACTCAAATCTCTTTCCCATTTATACCAAGTTTTTCCAGGAAATTTCTGCTGATTTTAGTGGCAACAGCGACTGATGTGGAGACGTGGTGGCGGCGACTATCCTGGGACGTGGCGGCAACGACGACGACTGGCAACTGGAATTGAGTTGCACATACGGTGATTTTCGGGCTGAGTTCCACTGTGATTTCGTTATTTTTGGGGTTTAGGATTTAAATGACAGTAGTAATTCATGTTCGTTTCGATTTTCGATTTTTTCGTGTTTGTTTGTCACATATATGTTTCGCCCGTAGTGTTTTGATGATCGCGTGTTAAACTCCAGTCGTTTGTGTTACTAGTTGATGTAAAGCTGGTTCGTTTTGAAATTATTTTGTTATTTAAACAGGGCAAAAAGATGTTAAAGAAAAACAAAATTTAAAAAAAAAAAGAAAAAAAAAAAGAAAAGAAAAGAAAAACAAAAAGTCCACGCCGGAGACCGGCGATCAACGGCGACGGCGGGCGAAATTGTACTCAAAATTGGGTTTTGGGTCAAAATTAAATAATTTGTGAAATTTGGGGTTAAATTGATGTTTAGGTAAATTAAGGGTAAATTACATCCACACCCCTGAGGTATTCTTAAATAACTTTAAGGTCCCTATGGTATCGATAATTACATTCACCCCCTAAAACATAGTTAGAAGCTCTAATGGGATAATGCATTAGATATGTTATTCCGATAGAATTCTAATAGACTATTAGGGTGCATTTGGATGGAGGGATTTGGGGGAGGGATTTCAAATCCATAATAACAAATCCCTCGAATTTGTTTGGATTGAGGGATTTGGAGATGGATTTCAAATCCCCACCTCTCCTTTTTAGTTGATTTTGGAGCAATAGTGATGGATTTCAAATGACTCCAAAATTGGAGTCATTTCAAATCCATTCCCCAAATCAAATCCCTCCCCAAATCCCTCCATCCAAATGGACTCTTAGTTTCAGGAAGTGGTGGATAGATCAAAGAGTTATGGGTGAGGGAACCATGTCACCCCCTAACTCTATGTTGTCTCTCCACTACTAGCTAAAAGTAATAGTCCGTTAGAGCTCTATCGGAATAACGTATCCAATGCATTATCCCATTAGAATTTTTAACTATTTTCAAGGGTGAGTGTAATTATCGATACCACAGGGACCTTAAAATTATTTAAGCATACCTCAGGGGTGTGGGTGTAATTTACCCTTAAATTAAAGGATAAAATTGGAGCATATTAAAATGTGACGGGCTATTTTAGTCTTTTAATTTACAAACCTGTGAACAATATGCGGATTTTTTTATAAAAGAGTTTTTTATCTGAACCCATTTATAAATAAGTACCCCTTGATGGGCTTATTTGTAATGTGCCCGAAAAAATAATCCGAAAATTGAGTAATAAAATAGAGTAACCCAAGCCTAAACCCCTACTTGAGACTTGTGGTAACAAAACATATAAAGGAAATTAATGTTGAAAAAAGAAGGCAAGGTTTTTAGTAATATATATATATAGAGAGGAGAATAAAAATGTATATATATGTACATTGTGTACTTAAATAGACGATAAATAGAGATTTAGCAGTGATCACAAATTAATCTTGAAAAAATGGCTTATTACCCTTCTGCCCTTGTCCTCATCGCTCTTCTCTTTGCCTCCACCGCCGCGAACCCACTAGCCCACGGCCAAGGAGTACTGCTCAGATCTCTCACTGTTGGGGGCTCACTTTGCTGCACCCCCACTGGAACCCATTCTGGGGGTTACTGTAAGTATCATCGGCAACATTCTGGACGGTCGTTCCGCCGTGGTTGGCTGCAGTGGCACCACCGATACAAACGGAAAGTTTCGCATAAGTTTTCCAGGGCCTATTCTTAACGCTTTTCCACAAATTACAATTCTCTTTGTGCCTATTATTAATAGCATTTTTCCACGAACTACCGTCTCCTCTGTGCAGCTTCCATTGGACAGCTCCGCAGGGTGCCCGATGCTCAACACCACCGGAATTCTCGTTTCGCCTGTTCAGATTGGCCCTTTAGGTACTACTTCCACTTTAGCTAGGGTTTGTCAATCTCGGGCCGGGATGACCTAATATTATATATGTATTATGTATGCATGTATGTATGCATGTATGTATAATATAGTATGAATAAGCATGTTTTCTTTGATTCCTGCATCAACAGCAATATCTCATGCATGTAAACATTTTATATATGTTCTCAATAAATAATGGTGAAGGAAGTTATACTTTTATCTAGTCCATATATTCTAGAATAGACGGCTATTTAACTAAACAAAGCATCAAATATAACGTCTAATTGTTTAAGGGCTCCTATTGTTACCTATATCAGATAAGTTTAGACTATATATGAGACTAAATTAATTCTCTCTTGACTAAATAATTATTGGGCATTTTACAAATAAACTCATCAATGGGTACTTATTCATAAAGAAGTTCAAGTTCAGACAAAAACTCTTTTACAAAAAAGTCCACACATGGTCCAAAGGTTTGTAAAAGACGAAAATAGACCCTCACATTTTAACATACTCCAATTTCATCATTTAATTTAATTCAACCTCAATTTGACCCCAAATTTCACAAACTATTCAATTTTGACCCAAAACACAATTTTATGGACAATTTCGTCTGTCGCCGCCGCTGACCGCTGGTCTCCGGCGTTGACTTTTTCGATTTTTTATTTTTTATTTTTCTTCCTGATTTTTCCACCGCTAACTATATTACAGTTAAACACAATAAAATTAACTATACTACAGTTTAACACGATAATTTTGTTATATTAATCTCTAGCACAATAATATTAACACAATAAAAGTCATTATTGTTGTGTAATATAGTAATATTAATATATTGACCATTCAAAAAAGGTAAACATAATAAAAAAGCCCAAAGAATTAATATTATTGTGGTTGACAGTAATATTACTGTAACAATAGTAATATTACCGTCAACCACAGTAATATTATTGTGTTTATAGTAATATTATAATAGTAGACAGTAATATTATTACCTTACTCCGTCAATAACTCAAACATACCAAAAAAACACAAAAAAATAATAATATTGATGTGGTTGATAGTAATATTATTGTGTTTACAGTTATTTTACTCTCAACGACAGTAATATAATTATGTTGACTTGTCAACAGATCAAACAAAATGAAAAAAAAAATAACCAAAAAAATAATAATAGTGTCGTTAACTCCAATTGTACTGTCAACGACAGTACAATTACGTTAATGTACTGTCAACGATAGTACAATAACGTTAGTTTACTGTCAGTGACAGTATAATTACTGTTAATGACAGCACAATTACAGTCAACGTTTAGCGGCGGGCGTTAAAAAAAATAAACAAAAAAAATCAAATAAGTCAACGCCGGAGACCGGCGGCGGAAAAAACAGACTAGAAAAAAAAATCGAAAAGTCAAAGCCAAAAACCAGCAGCAAAAAAATAATTTCTGAAAAAAAAAAAAAAGTTTTCAAAAAAATAAAGTCAAAATTGGATTTTTGTGGTAAAAAATGATTCGATTGAGGTTACAATTAAGAATTGGGTGGAAAAGGGTCGTTAGGGTAATTTTGTCGTGTACATTAATTTTTCCTTTATTTATAATACATATTAAATGGATGGGCTTATTAGCGAAAGAGATATAACCCATGAACCTAGAATAATAAAGATGGTTAGTCAGGAACTTAAACCTCTTAATTATTTAGTTAATATGATATTCGGTATGTAAGATTAGATCTTGTATTATATATGTTAAATTATGGTATTATATGTGATTTGTCTATAAAACCTTTTATTGAATAAAATTATCATGTAGTTTGAAGGGTAAAATAATCTTTAACTTGTTTAGGCACCCCGTATTAAATAAATCTCATGGGGAGGAGTGCTACTAATTTAATGCAATAGTAGCATTTAATAGCAGACTCTGATTTCAGTAGCGGGAATTTAAAAAAAATGTGTGAATTTTGCCAATCGAACATGTTACTAACTCCTACTATTTGATTTAGTCAGCAGTATCTTATAGTGGTAACCAAACGAGCCCTAAAACTAATGACGGTAAATATTACCAAGTAATATTTTTTTGGTCACTTTAATCAAATAATTAACGAGGTATATATATATATATATATATATATATATATATATATATATATATATATATATATATATATATAAAAGAAAGAAACGTTATGGCAACCCTAAGAAACCCTAATGTCATATTTGTAATTTTGTTTTTATTATTTTCGATTTTTATCAAATTTTTATCTCCTAAATATATTTTTTGAATTTATCAGATTTATATCTTTTAAATATTATTTTAAATATAATTTTAGATTTTTATCTCCTAAATAATATTTTTGAAGTTTATCAAATTTATATCTCCTAGATATATTATTTTGGATTTTTATCTCCTAAATATAATTTTAAATATTATTTTCGATTTTTATCTCCTAAATATTATTTAAATATTATTTTCTAATTTTATCAAATTTATATCTCCTAAATATTATTTTCAATATTTTTTTCGAGTTTTATCATATTTTAAATAATATTTTCGATTTTTATCATAGTTTATCTCCTAAATACTATTCTAATTATTATTTTCGTATTTTATCAACTTTTATCTCATTAACATTATTTTTAATATTATTTTCGATTTTTATCTCCTAAATATTATTTTTTTGATTTTTATCAAATTTTTATCTCCTAGATATTATTTTCAATGTTTATCAGATTCTTATCTCCTAAATATTATTTTCGATGTTTTTATCCCCGAACCAGCCCAATCACTCTTATTTTCAACCATAAATATCTCTAAT